ATTAATGATTATTGCCTGATATTGTTTCATTAGGAGATACAAAGAGGTGTGTGTATAATTCTACTATTCCTTAAGAATATGGCTTTATAGAGGTGTAAATGACATACAGCGAACCCATGATTTTCGAAAGTTTTGACATAGGTGCACTTGTGTAACCATCACAACTGTTATGTCCCCTCTAATCCCCACTCACCCTCTCTGCCTTCATTCCCAGGTAACTAGTGATCTGCTTTCTGTCATTATATATTTAGTCTGTACCTTTGTGTTTTTTTCTCTAGTATGTGAATCAGCAGTTGTTTATAAAATAACTTCAAACAATTATTCAACATAATTCTAAAAGGTAGAAGAAAAATTTTTACTTTGCCATATGAGAAAAATATATTGAATATTTTAAGTGAGCAACTTGTGATTAGTATAACAAGAATGAAATTTTTTCTAGAGCTACACTTCTTAGCATTATTATTTCCTCACAGAAGTTCTTGACTGGTTTTCTGCCTTCTTCACCCAACTGTTATAGATCTCTAGGATCTGAAAGATAATAACAGGACAAGGATTTATTCATTTTCTCTTATTATGTTAACTACCTAGGCTTGGCTGTGTGTGTTCTAATAAAACATACAAGATAATTGCTGGCATCTGCACAAAACATTTTTCCTCTTTATTGAAGCTGTAAGCGGAGTAAATTGTTTTTTCCCATTCAGGTTTTAGATGTCAGTGCATCTTATGCTAACTGTAATGCAGATCAGGCTGCACTGTAGTCTTTCTCCTTCATTTGGCAGAGATGTGAATTGAAGACGAAGATACCCAGTTCAGTTGGCAACAGTGACTTTTAGGTGAGCCACTTCAGTTCTTACAACAACAACAACAACAACAACAAAAATACATTCTAAGTAAAGGAATAGCTTATATAGCTTGGATGATATCTCAGAAAGGCAGAAAGCTGGTGAGGGGAAATAAAATGCTGCAGGTACTGGGAAAGATGATCTGGTAGTGAAGTAGGAAACAAGTAATTTAAAAATGAGTATGACATGAATATGATGACAGCTTACTTTTTAAAGTTTCTTCTAACTCTTCTACAAACCAGTGACTAATAAAGATAATAAAATAGTAATACTCATGGATATTCAACAAATTGATAGCCCCCCCCCCCAAACCCATAATATGTCTTCAGCCAAGCTACCAATAGCAATCAGATCTATACAGGATGAATAGCTTTACTGCAGTGAGGAACAAACAAAAAATCAAAAGACAAAAGTGCCAAAAATGTTACTCCTATAGCATTTCTGATTTCATAGCATTTCACAGCATTCTGATTTCATTTCATATTTCTAGCTCTGGTAGTGATGTTTTTGTCTTAAAAATCTTTTGTCTGATAATATAACCAACATTCTTTTTAATATTTCAAGTATATTTTTTATATTTTCAACATTTATGTATCCACATGCTTTACATGTGACTTATGAAATGGGCATATGGCTAGAAGGATTGATAGTTGGTATGATTCCCTAAGGTTATGAACAGTGCAGGTCTATGAGATGCCATTTCTGCTCTGGCCAATACTGGTACTCTATCTATTGTTGAATATTTGTAATATGTTTGACTTTTGTTTTTTTGCACGTGTCAATCTTTGTGATTCAACTAGAGAACTAAATTATTGTGATTAACAATGTGATTTAACTTCCATCTTTATAGCTTTTTTCAAAACCAGCCAATATTTTTTTGATACTTATGATAGGTTAAATACATAATGTCTCCAGTCCCCAAATATCCACATCCCAATCCCTGGGATCTAGTAATATTATATGGTAAAAGAGATGTTGCAGTTGTGATCATATTAAAGATACTTCCACAGACAATACATCTGAGATGTTTATCCTGTGGGTTAGGTCTTTGATGGCCCTTGCAATGAATGACTGTAGCTCTATGAGGGTAGAAGAGTCACCTCTAGAAGGTCTTAAATTCAGGGTCCATTTTGTATAGGGGGATTTTTTGCAGTTAGGAATCCCTTTTCATGCTAGATTTGGGCGTTTGAGTGTAGGATATTATATGGATATTATATGCATATTTGGAATCTGTGTAAATGTTGATGGTTTTATCTTTTGCAAATGTGAGTGCTCTAGTGAGTGTAACAAGTTCTTCCTGCTATGAAGTTGTTCCTGTGGAGAGAACTGGCTCCTTGATTACTTCTTAGGGAGGGTAAGAGGATTGGCTATCATGATAGCCTTCGATGATGGTGTGCCCTGCCTGGGAAGGGTTGGTCTTTGAAGCACTTCTGTTAATAAACCGGTTGGAGACCCTGGAATATGTTCTAAGGTTATGTGATGGGTGGGTAAGAGTAAAATCAAGGAACTCAGTTCACTTGATTTTACCTGTTGGGAGGGTGGAGTGGGGGGAGTCAGACATTGGGAGGAGGTTGGCAGGGTTTAGGACAGATGAGTGACAGAAGGTAACTAACCAAGGGTTGTAAGAGCTCAGAGTATAGGACTTGAACTTGGGTGAAAGAGAGAGAAGGGTTAAAGCATGATGGCTGAGAAGGTCGGAGGGGTTGTGTAAGGGGTGTACCTGTAGGGACTGGTGGAGAGTATTCTTTTTGGGATTTGGGAATAAGAAATGCAGCTGACTCTAAGACCTGTAAACAGAGAGCCCAATCTTTCATTAGAAGATTGATCTATTTGGAATAGACAACAGGCTGGAGGAAATCTCCAACTGGCTGTGCAAGTAGTTCTTATGATTGTCCCTTTTTGCTGGTTCAAAATAGAAAGTTGTATTAGGATTGGGTAGGGTCAAAATAGCCTTAAGTAGTGCCCACTTGAGGGCCCAAAAGGAAGCAGGAATTCAATCTGTTTCTGGCACTCTTTCTCAGGGATTTTCATGGGAAACCTTGTTAGAGGGGTTTTGCAATGAGTCAGAAATTTGGGATCCAAAGTCTAAAAGAGCTAAGAAGCCCCAAGAAGGAAAGGAGATCTGATCTTTGTGGTGGGGAAAGAAGATTGTTAATAGCCTGTTTTGAAGAAGAGGGTATGGATCGAGTGGTAGGGGTGAGGTGAAGGCCAAGGTAGGTGATCTTTTGTTGTACCAGCTGGGTTTGTGTTCTGAAACATGTTATCCCTTTCTAACAGGGAATTTTTAAGAAGGGAGATGGGGTGGGATAGAGTCATTTCCAAGGGCTGCAAAGGACAAGTGTTGCAGATAGCTAAGTTAGTTAGAAATTATTATAAAGCAGTTAGGCAAAGCTGGGCCCCAAGCTTAGAAAAACAATTGAGGTACATTTATTGGTTAGCATTGTAAAAGGAAAAGAGATACTACTTTCCCTAGAGATGAATAGCACTGATTGATATTCTAAATAGACATCAATCTCCCTAGCCCATTTTCTTTCTGGAAATTCCTTGTATGTGACTTGTTTTTCCATTTGATGCCCATTTAATCAATGTTGCCTGGGTGACTGTACTTTTTTTTTGTTTTTTTTTTGTTTTGGTACCGGGGGTCGAACTTGGGTCCTTGCGCTTGCGCAGCACGCAGCCGAAACCACTGAGCTAAATCCCCAGCCCTGTACTTGTAATTTTATTGATTGATCATGGTTTTTGTCCCACCTCATGCCCATCTTGTACTTTTCCATTGGGTTTTATATTTTTGTCCCACTTTGTACCCTCCTCACTTTGTGGCTTTGCCTTATAAAAAAATATCTTTTAAAATAGGGGTGGGTGGGCAACCTACTTTCTGGTCCCTCTTCTGTCTGTCTTAGAAGGTATCATTCTCAATAAATTTTTCCTACTCTTAGGCTCCATTGTTCCTAGAATTCATTTTTTGATTTTAGAGAACATGAACTTGTGTTTCGGATATTTAGGAGGTTGAGCGTTATAATATTTCCCTTGTTTGGATTATTTTTGTTTATTTGCATTAGTTGCCCTATATCATTTTTTGGATTACTTGGTGCCCTATATCAAAAGGTCATTGACTTATTGGAGTGGGCAACTGGGGTAAGGTTAAGGGATTGAAGGTCCTTTTGTAATGCTTGGCCAAAGAAATGGGGGATATCCCCAAATCCCTGGGGAAGAACTGTCCATATGAGCCGTTGGGTGAACAGAGATTTGGGGTCTGTCCAGATGAAGGTGAAAAATTGTTGGGAATCAGAGCTGAGGAGACAGTAAAGGAGTTTTAAAGGTCAAAAACAGTTAAGTATTAATTAATTGGGGGATATGGGAGAGGAGGCATAGGGCCTGAGGACCACTGCATGACTGGGAACAACAGCTTCATTAATCTTTCAGAGATCTGGTACTAATCAGAAGGAGCCATGTTTTTTAATAGGAAGGATGGGTGTGTTGTAGGGGGGTTGGGTAGGAATGAGAATTATGAATTTAAGGAAGTGGTTGATCATGGGCTAGAGGCCAAGGAAGACCACTGGGGCTAATGGTATTCACTGACTGTGACAGCTCTAGTAGGATCCCTCAGGGATATTTTTAGAGGTTGGTGATGTAAGGCAATGGAAGGGTGTGTGTGTGTGTGTGTGTGTGTGTGTGTGTGGCCCAAAGAAGATGGTTAGCCTGTGAGTTGATGAGTTGGATTGCCTTAGAGGGGAGAATCTCATTACGGGGTATAACTGGTGGGACAAGGAAGGGCTCTGAAGAAAGTGAGGGGATATATATATATATATATATATATATATATGCCCCCATGTGATGGAGGATACCTTCTCAAAAGGGAAATGGGGCTGTGGGAAATTAACAAGAAAGAATGAGTGAAAATTATATGGCCTAAAGAACAGTGTAAGAGGGGAGTCTTGGTTGGTATTTCTCTTAGGCCCTTTATTCCAACAAGCCTGATTGGAGAGGGGGTTCTGATATTCAGTAAGGTCAGAGAGGCTGGCCCCTGAGTTGACCAGTTGTGGCTGTCTTTCAGATACATTACTGGTGGACCCATTGATGGCATCACAGAGGGGACCTTGGGATTCTGACCACATCAATTGGCAGGTGAAGATAAGGCTATGAGGGCCACCAGGTCTTCTCCAGATGTGTCAGGACACTTGGAGGGGAGAAAACTCAAGGGAGGGACTGATTTCCCAGAGGACAATCCATTTTCCAGTGACCCTACTGTCCACAGTTGGGACATGGCCTTGTAGGAAGCCCGAGAAAAGGGCAAGCTTTTGTTTAGTGGCCCAGATTGCTGTAGTGAACCGTCCCTAGGTGGGTATGAGGTGAAAACTTTGGTAGGTTTTTTCAGCTGTGAGTTGAACTGGGGAGGCCAGGATTTGATATTTAGCGGTAGTCTGTTTTTTTTTTTTTTCAGTTCTCTGTTCCTCATCTCAGTTTTTGAAAACATTAAAGGCAAACTTTATAAGCTCCTTCAGTGATATTTGTGGTTCATTTTTTAAGTTTTGGAGATTTTTGTGGATGTCTGGATAAGATTTAGAGATGAAATGGAGATATAGAAGAGTTAGATCTTCAGGAGAGTTAGGGTGGGTATTTGTATATTTCATCATGACCTCTGAAAGGTGGCTCATAAAGAAGGCTGGGTTTTTGTCTGCCCCCTGAGTGATTTCTCTGAGGGGCTCATAGTTGACCTGTTTATTTTAATTTTTTTTTTGTTCCTGCCAAGAGGAAAGTGATCATATGATTGGAATCTGTCCTGCCAGGATTGCCAAGTTGATATGTCCATTTGGGGTCTTGAGGTTTAGCCCTGGGGTCTGCTCGAGCTGCCTCAGTGTGCCTGTCCAGGTATTGGTGGTATTTATCAGCATGGTTTTCAGCCACTCACCAATATGCTCCCTTTCCTTATCAGCAAGGAGAAGGAAACAAGAGGATAAGGTAAATATCTCCCCATGTGAGGTTGTACTTTTGAGTGAGTAGGAGAAATTCTTTTCTGAATTTATTGGGATTTTCTGAGAAGAACCCTAAATTTTGTTGGAAATGTTCTAGATCAGTATTTGAGAAAGAAAGATGAAGGCAAACAGGCCCCTCAACACCTGCTACCTCATGGAGGGGCTGATGTAAGTTGGAGAAGAGAAGTGCCTGGAGAAGGAAGGGGCTGATGGTTGGGAGGGCTGTGGACTGGTTGAGGTGGCTTAGGAAGTGGGAGGCAATAGGGTTGGGGATCATCAACAAGATCAAATTTGTCAATGGAGGAGGGTAAGGTCATGATGTTGGGTTGGGAGTGGGTGGGGATAGGAGTTTTTGTTTGGTGAGAAGAGTTTGGAGGGAGGAGAGAGTAGGACAGAAGGATGGTTGCTCACAGAGGATAAAAAAGGCTTGGATATAGGGAACCTCTGACCATTTGCCATTTCTCTGGAAGAAATTATCAAGATCTCAGAGAATTTGGATATTGAAAGTACCCTCAGCTGGCCAGCATAACCCATTATGGTATGTACTGGGGCCACATGGAAATGGAGTAAAAGGTAAATTTTTTTTGGCTTAATGTCTTCTTTTAATCCCAATTTGGAAAGATTATGCAGGAGACTCTGACGAGTGCGTGTTTCCTGATGTTTTTGAGGGAGCCTTGCCCACTGTGGGGAGGAAGAGGATGAGAAAGGCAGCGGCGTTGGGAAACTGATCACAGGGTATTTCCCTGTGATCAGCCTCCCAACTGGAGCCTGTAGTCTCCGGGAGACTGAAGGAATTATCCTACATGCTGAAAGGTGTTTTGGGGAAGGGAAGGGAGAGTTGGTTACCCAGTTGGGTGGTTGGGGTTCAAAAGTTGCCTGTGAGGGTTTTGAGGGCTCATGGAAAGGTTGGCTGGGCCAGAGCCTTTGCAGTCCTGCCATAGAGGGCAGTCAAGCCCATGTAACTAACTCTTTGGGAAGGCGATTAAAGGGGGCAAGAAACAGAAGGCTCTCGGGATCTGGGAGCAAGCTCAGGATGAGGTGCCACTGCCCATTGCTTCCTAGGTTGCAAAAGAGCCCCTGCTTTTGGATCTCACTCCTGGGTTTTGGTGCCAGATGAGTGGGAAAGAAGGAACATGAATTTGGCAATCTGAGCCTGCTTGTTGCTAACCTTGAGAGGGATCTCTCTGAGCAGAACAGAGAAGGTGTTTCTTACAGGCAAAGAGGCCTTTTTTCATTGCAGAATTCTGAGAGAGAGGAAAGACCAATGGGAAGCTGGAGGATTTATTAGGTGTGCCTTGACTCAGTTGGATTCCTGTCCAAAAGACTGAGTAGTGAGCAAAGAGAAGTTGTAGTTTTTATACATTTTCTGAAGGGAGGGGTGGTTTTTAGTGACATAGCAAGTGAGTTTATGCGAACAGGATAAGGGCGGACAGTTTTGTGATTTAGCCTTGTAAGAAGACAATGTCTTATGAATCAAATGAGAACAGAGAGTCATAAGCTTTGTTTACAGAACATAGTTGTCAATTTTATCTGTGCCTTTTGAAAGCACACAGTTCCTTGGGGTTTATAAAACTTCATTTACAGGAATATGACTGTCTATCTCATCAATACCAGGGCCGGTGGGGGGTGTCAGCCTTGGAAGAAGGCAGATTCCTGAGTAACCAGGATGTCACAGGACTCTGTCAGCAAGAATCTTGTTTACCTTGTAGCAGAGCAGTGGTCAGTAGTTAGGGGAAATGTGTGTGTGGGGAGAGGAACCTGAGTGGGGAGCTGCTAGGAGAGACTACTTTCACCTAGGAGAATTGAGTTTCTTTTAAGTTCTGCTTCATTCATTCATTCATTCATTCATGTATTCATGTACAGGGCATTAAACTCAGGAACTTGCACTTGCAAGGCAGGCGTGGCACCAATGAGGTAAATCCCTGGCCCTCGTTCTGCTTTGTTTTTAGTTGTGTGTTTTTGGCAGGGTTTTGAGAGGGTGGGTCAAAGAAATGGCAGCCTTGTGGCTTGCTGATATGTTTTCTGACTTGCTGAGGTATTCTCTGGGGGTAGCTTGTAACCTAAATAAAATGGAACCTACTTTTCCCTAAGATGGCGGGTGGTGTTCCTGTCCAGGTTCTATTACTTATCTCCAAATAACAGCCAACATCCTGATTTCTGAGCAGACATAAATCAGTCCAGAGCAACCAAGGACACAGATTCTCCCCTGAAGCATCTAAGAGGAATGGAGCCTTGCCAACACCTTCATTTTTAGATTTCTGGTCTCTAGACTTGTAAGAGAATAAACTTGTGTTGTAAGCAACTAAGTGTGTGATAATTTGTCACAATAGTAAAAAGAATATGTTCATTTTCATTTTTTTTGGTGACAAGGGATGAGTGACCATTGCAATTAGAGCTTTTCCAGGGAAGCTTGATAGTTATTTATGGACTACCCACTTTGGATGTGCCCCAGGCTTGAATCTCCCTGCTGGTGCTTTGTGCATCTGTCAGGAGAAGGGGCTGAGGGTCAGAGCCTGGCTGAGAAGACTTTGTGGTGGAGAGTCTTGGCATTCACGTCCTTCTAGTTGCACTTTAATTTTGGCACCTGCAGGTTGTTTCGTTCTGCCGGCTTAGCAATGCTATTTACAAAGAGTGTTTTCAAATATTCTATCCAGCACTTTAGCTGTTACAATCCGGCAAGCTTTTCTGGGTGTGGATTCTGTCATAATGCTGGAATGGAAAACTAGGGAGTCTTTCATAATCATTTTTCGAAAGTGTTCCTTCCCCCATAAGGTAGGGTGCACAGGTGTCATTGCCTTAGATCTTCCTTACTGGTCCTCTGGAGCCTGGGAGTTCTAAAGCCAGAATTTCTCAGTCAACCTCTTATCTAAGAAGAGAAAGAACTGAAATACTAATGACTTCTCTCGTGGGTTCATTAAAAATTGTTTTTCTAAACAATTCATTATCCCTATTTATAAAATATTTCCTGGGAGGGAAGAGTTTGGCAGCCAAGCTGTGTTTGAGTACATGGCTATTGAAACTGACCTTGTTTTTATATTTGCGTCACCATTATCTGCTGGATAGTTCTCACAGCTTTTAACTTTGGATCATTTTAATCTTCTAAATGCAAGGAAGTCCAGAGTACAGACACACATTTCGCCTGCTGTTGTTGTGCCTCTCCCAGCTCCCTTCCCTTTCCCTGTTTAGGTTCTTAGCTAATTTACTCCAGGTTTCCTTGCCAGGAAAAATCTTGGATGTGATAGACTGAAATGATTAGGCAAAAGGTGGAGAGGAGGGGCAGGCAGCAAGTCAGGCAGCTCAGTGATTGCTTTCCACCTTCCAGCTTGATTCCTCTCCATTAATAAGGAGAACTTGGTTTCTTCATACTCAGCACACCTCATAGTCAAGCATAATACTGCGAAGTATTGCATTTAAACATTTTTTTCTTTTTTCTTCCATAATAGTATTGGTTGGTAATGGCTTTAATAGAGAAGTCTTTGTGACTGAGTCACTGATAATACATTTTTTAAAAATGCATTTTCTCTAAGAATGTCAAGACAAGCCACTAGAAGGCTTGAGAAAAAGGATAAAACCTATTAATACTTGAGTGGTGTCAGAATGTTCCCATTTTTAATATAAGTGGCAAAAGTCCATAAATATGTTTGGTGTTACTAGAACACAGAAAACCTGAGAACATGGGAAAAAGGTAAATGAATTTATATGTATATATATTTGTAT